TGTTTTCAGGGATGGACTGATTACATTTGTTTCAAAATCTTCTGCTTCAATCAAATTTTTCTGTACTCGACGAAAAGCCTACTTTTTAAAGGGGAAAATTTTTTGAAATAAAGATACCTAAATGTTGCATGTTGTCTTACCTAACAACCTGTCGGTATTTTATACCAATTTTTTAAAAATTTACTCTGTTTAGACCCTGCAACACAAGGGGATCTTGGTACATCTTTTATCCTTTCTTTTCTCTAGAAATTAAAATCAGGAGAAATGCCCGGGAATGGGTTGGGAAAAAATATAGAATTTTTAAACATGAAAACTAAAGAAATGATTGGGGCCTGTATTTAGTGACTGACTAACCTGCCTTCAGAGGTAACAAGCCATTTTTATTGTAGCTAGGGATATGGAGTTTTTCATGTTTGGGAAAAAAACCCCTTAAATATTTTAAATTTTTTGGGGGGCCCAAGTAATAAAACAGGGGGGTCACTGTTTTTATTTAACTACATGGCTTGCCACGGGCCCCCACAAAAAAAGGGATTGGGCCGCTTAAACCCCTTTTTTAGGGTTTGGTGCCAAAACTATTTTGGCTCCCCACAGTTTTGGGGCCAAAACTATACGCATAAATTCTAGCGCCTTCAAAAACTAACCCAAAAAAGCTGGTAGGCCTTTCATAGAAAGAATGGGGCCCAAAGGGTCAAATGTGCACAGTATAAAAAAAACCTGCCCGCAAAACCGTGCATAAAAAGGAAAAAAAAAACTTCGACCGGGGTTTTTTGGTTTAAAACAGTGACTTTGCCCGTGATTTTTATATGCTATTTAAAAATTTCCCTTCCCCGTTTTTTCCCGGTCTCATTTTATAGAAAGGAAGACATATTATGGGAAAAAGAGATGAAAATTTTGATTGGTTTTTGCAATGAAAAGTACCCTTTAAAATTTACTCAAAGTAGCAAAATGTTTGATTTTTGCCAAAATTCAAAAGTAAACAAATCATGTCATGCGTCTAATAAACATCAACGGGATTCCAAAATTCTTTCACAAGTGCGCTGAAATTTTTTATACCATTTCTACACTAACAGTAGTCCGCATAAAATAAATCCCTTTTATTTTTTGTGAGAATAAAAATTCAAAGTGGAAAGCAAAAAAAATGCAACAAAAGGCCCGGAAAAAGTGACTTTAAAGAAACAGAGGAAACTTTATTTTAAATGGCCCAAAAATGTCTTTTCTGTTTATTCTGGGCCCTTTTTTGGAAATTGGCATCTTTTGAAATATGGGGTAAACTGGGAAAATTGCCAATTTCTGACCACTTTATTGGATATTCAAATTGGTAAATGGTGGGTTTTTTGTTCTCCCTTTGATAGAAAACCCGGGAAATTTTAGCAAAATAGGGTTTTGATTTTTGTTGACTGGGAAAATTGGAAATTTGGGCCAGAAATAGGGTCAAAGGGGGGAAATCGCCGATGCATAAACATATCCGAGACCCCCTAACCTTTTGGGAAGAGCAAATTCCGTAATTTTTTCCATCAAAATTTTATACTTTTTGGGGCAATACATCAGGAAAAAAATTTTTCCCGTCATTTCATAAAAATTTTTTTTTTTTTTTTTTTTCAAAAAATTTCCGCCCCTGAACAATTTAGGAGAGGGCCTGCCGACCCTGAAAGAGTCGGCAGGCCCCAAAACAAAATTTTACCCAGAGAGATTATTTAGAGTCTTAAAAAAGACTAAATGATTACATACGAATTTGTAAAAAAAAGAAAAATTTTGTTTTCTTTTTTTTAGATCACCGCCTCAAGGGGAAAAAGCTGTGGTAAAAAAAAAAAAAAAAGGGGAATATAAAATTTTGTGGAAAATGCCAGACAAGACAGCTACAGAATGAGGGGAAAAATAATTTTTTTTTTTTTTTGGGGTGGGGTTCCCCTACTTTGGCAGAAGGGCTTGTGGTTAAAAAATAAAATTAGCAGTAATTAAACATTCAACCTAGAACCCATATAATTTCCATAACTGTGCTATTAGACCCATGAATGAAAACGGGCGAAGCGCTTTCAATTTTTTAACTGAAAAAACTCTGGGTCAATAATGTAAACAACAGACAGTATCGCAGAAATGCAAATAACTTACAGTACATTAAAAAAAAATTTAAAATACTTTTTATAATCTGTACAAAATATGACTACTTAAAAAAAAAATAACCTAATACAAAGAAGATTCGGGTTACCAAGACAATTTTGAGTTAAACGACATACAAAAAACTGCAAAAAAAGAAAAATTTTTGGATTACTTTTTTTTGATTTTTACCATTTTTAGAATGCACTTACGATCAGTCTTCTTATCTGATAAAATTTTATTTGGTTCAGGCGGCTCGTTGAAACCTTTGAGAAAGTCCAGCCCTTGGGCTCGCAACGAAATATGTAGGCCTTGAGCATTTGATGTGATAGGGCAAGAAATCACGAAATGTAACAGGTTTATGGTTTTGTCTCTCGCAGTTTAAAACGGGTGTTCGGAAAAAAACCCCGGAAACAAACCAAAAATATAAAAAAATTTGAAATAACCATATTTAAAAAAATTTTCTAATGCTGGTGAAAAAATAATCCAAACATAACAAAATTAAATGAAGAAACAATATTATCCACTAAAAACATCACACCACTACAATTGGGGTGCCAACTTTATGAATAACAATTAACATTTAAAAACAAAGAGGGGGCTTATCAAAATTTTGACAATTTTTCATATACACACTTTCTTAAAACCCCCAGTTAATGTAGTGTTAAAAGGGGAACTGGCCATAATAATAAAAGGTAAAGACTTTTCAAAAAATAAATTTTTTTTCAGATCACTCAAAAAAAAATTTAAAAAATATACACAAAAACAGCTTAGTAAAAGGTGAAAACAATACATGTTTGTTTTTGGGGGAAAAAACATTTAAAGGAATATTTAGCAAAATTTTCCGAGCAAATTATTGGGTGTATTTATTACACTGATTTTCCTCAACAGTGTACTTGCAACAGACAATTGTAACATCTATAATTTTTTCTGAACCCAGGACAGCTCATGTATTTAATTTCACAGTTTTCCCCCACAGCCTGGCCTAATGGGAAATCTCCCTAGTATATCTATCCACCTGTTGCACCAAAAACCCAAATGGGAGTGAGAGGGAAGATGAAAATAGAGGAAGAGGCCTAGGGTTTATGGTGTAAAGGAGGGGGGGTGATGGGGGTTGCATGCATGGGGGAGAAGACAACTGGGCGTTGACAACTTATTTTTTTTTTTAACAAGCCCTCCCCACCGAGGCAGGGACCCAAAAAGAAAAAATCCCCCCAAAAAGAAAATCTTTTATCATTTTTAAACTTTCACCTCGCTCACCCAAAAAAAATCACTGTTTTTGCAAGGTGCCAAATACAACATTTAGAAGCAAAATTTTAGACACACAACATATCCCTCCAAACCCAATATCCCAAACCCTCCTTTAAAGCGGGACTGTACTTCCCATTTCCAAACTCAAGACCGGCTATATAAAAAAAACGGGTTTCCCTGAATCCCTTCACTAAATATTACCCGCTCACACTCCAACGCTCGCGGTCCCAAATCCCTTCTCCTATTCACCCTATCAACACGCCATGCCCTTGCTGGGAAATCCAAGCCCCTCACCCACAAAACCTCCTTTTTTCCCCCCCCCTCCAACCTTTTTCGAGGGAAACCCCACCCCGCCTTCCTTCCCTTTCAGATTTAAAATGCTCTCCATGTCTTCTACTTTGATCCATTCTCCTAAATGACCAAACCCCCTCAACAACCCCCTTCAGCCCTCTGACAATACTTTTTTTACTCCCCACCTTATCCTAATTTCCGCGCCACCCCAATTTTTTCTGCATAAATTTACCCACACCCCTGCCCTTGACGGGCTCTCCACTGCCTCCAACCACTTCCTCGCGCACATTTACAACCCAAACTCACACCCCTATAAGGTTGGTACTACATACTTTTTTACTTCCCTTCTTTGCCTCCAAATAAACGTTTTTTTGTCCCACACACCCCATCGCACCACTCACCTTTCTTCCTTCATCAATTCTATGATTAAACCTCATCCATCATAAATCCATCTGCTGACACGTCAACTCTCAAATATCTGAAAACATTCACTTCTTCCATACGCCTCCTCCCCAATTTGATGTCCAATTTTTCTTTATCTAAATCATTCGATACCCCTCATCACCTTACTCTTTTCTATGTTCACTTTCAACTTTCTACCTTTACACACACTCCCAAACTTGTCCACTAACCTATGCAATTTTTCTTTAGAATCTCCCATAAACACAGTATCATCAGCAAAAAGTAACTGTGTCCAATTCCCATTTTGTATTTGATTCCCCATAATTTAATCCCACCTCTCTCCCAAACACCCTAGCATTTACTTCTTTTACAACCCCATCTATAAATTTATTAAAGTCATATATTAAGTCATATTTATGTTAACTTAATAGCTTTACATAGAGTAATTAATTTTCAGCAAAAACTGGTTATCAACTGTAGAAAAGTTTATGTAACATCAGATGTGCTCCTTTAGTCTATGCAATCATTAAACAAATTTCCATAAAAATTTTCTCCACAAATTAGGAGGATTTATTTGGGTAAAATCTACTTCCTAAAACTGAGGAATTTACTACATATTTGGACACATTTATCAAAACTGGTAAAACCTGTAAAAATTTCAATACTGGAAACTGAATATTTTTAAATCTTTCAAGATCTATCTATATTTATGACCTAGAATATTGGTGTAGAATACAAAATGTAGTTATTTTAATTGTGCCCATCTTGGGGTGAAAATAGCATCAGTGTGTACTACTAAAAACAATGATTAATGCTATTTAACAAAATCTCAGCCATTCATAACAAATCAAGAAACTGACATAAATTTCTCAAATTCAGCAAAGTTCACATGCTTACTACAGGTATCTCTTTTCTGTAAGCTTTAAATACCATTTTTTTAAATGCACAGATGGAATGAAAATATCAAACTCATATTTTTACTTACCAAATGTAACATATCCAATATTTTCTCCTTGTCTGGCTTCAGTGTCTTGAAGCTCTAATGGAGGCTCCTTGTGAGAGAATAATACATGGGGCGCTGACAAAGAAAAATGCAACACTGTATTAGCAACATGCATGATGCAGTAGTCATAATATCAGTATGGGAGATCAAAGACATTTTCAACATTCAATAACTACAGGGTGTACCATTTAAATGGAACCAGAGAGTATAACAAAAAAGTGTCAATATTTAAGCCTGTTTTACTCAAATGATTTTTTGACATGTCTGTCACTGTTGCACATTTGTATCTTTTAAAACTTAAAGTAAACCTGGTTTAAGATATCTGCTCTTATGAACAAATCTGTTTTCCCAGATAGTTGAGGTTATGTATATTTTCATCATACACATTTCAAATGGACTCAAAGCAGTTATCATGTGCAATTTTTATAAACATGCAGGACCTCCACTCTGGCATGTCATCTGCATTATTGTAATTTATTGATATGTTTTTTTCCTTGCTTTTTCTCTTGCTTGCTAACTCTCTGGCATCAACAGAAGCAGGCTTTTCACATTTTATTGTCTCAGCATTATTTTTTATAAGAGAATGAGTGTTGTTTAGAAGTAGTGACTTCCAGCTCCATCCTCTTCCCTCCTCATAGTGCATCTTCACACTATTTTTCAAGCATGCCTGATATCTTACATCCTGTTCTTTATTACTCAGCAGTATTTAGAACAGGTATTGAACTGATTTTGGGTGGACTTTGTTATAAAAGCTATTAAACATGTCAATGTGGTATTGTTGGTGACCCCAAACCTAGTGATGCACCTAACAGTATTAATGTGATACAAACTGCCTCCATTCAACCAACGCCTCATTAGTATTTAAACCAAAAGATCTTAAACAGAAAAAGAAAAACACTGCTGTCAGAATAAATAATTAATAAACAATACAAGTACGGAAGAATGTTCAACAATATGCCATTCATTAATTTCATATACAATAGTACTTTACCTGTTTGACTTCCTCGTTTTCCTTCCTTGAATTCTTGCATAAAGACTTTCCCGATAATTACATCATCAGGATCTTTAAAGATTGTACTAAACACCACCGTGACTCTGTCTGCCTTGGCTTCTACATACCTATAAAAAAATTGTAATTAAATATCTTAAAAGAAATTAGTTTTTTTAACACAATGGCTATCTCTCACAGAGATAGCCAGTGTGTTACAGAGGTGAGACAGAGGCGTGCAGATGCAACACTCCAAACAGCAAATATCCCAAACCCCTCCTTTAAAGTGGAGGCATTGTACTTCCCATTTCCAGGACTCAAGTCTGGCTAACTGGTTTCCCTAAATCCCTTCACAAAATATTACCCTGCTCACACTCCAACAGTTCGTCAAGTCCCAAAAACCATTCGTCACCACTCACTCCTATCAACATGCTCCCACATGCTTGCTGTATGTCCAAGCCCCTTGCACACAAAACCTTTTTTTGTTCCCTCCCTCCATCCTTTCCTAGGACAACCCATACCCCTCCTTCCCTCCACTACAGATTTATACACCCTCTAAGTCATATTATTTTGCTCCATCCTCTCTAAATGACCAAACCACCTCAACAATCCCTCCTCAGCCCTCTGAATAATACTTTTAGTAATTCCACACCACCTACTAATTTCCACACTACGAATTCTCTGCATAATATTTACAAACCCCACATGCTGCACTTAGATATGACATCTCCAATGCCTCCAACCTCTTTCTCACTGCAGCATTCACAACCCATGCTTCACACCCATATAAGAGTGTTGGTACCATTATACTCTCACACATTCCTTTCTTTGCCTCTATGAATAATGTTCTTTGTCTCCACAGATACCCCAATGCAGCACTCACCTTTTTTTCCTTTCATCAATTCTATGGTTTACCTTGTCCTTCATAAACCCATCTGCTGACAAATCCACTCCCAAACATGTGAACACATTCACTTCTTCCATACTCCCTCCCTCAAATGTGATATCCATTTTTTCTTTACCTAACTCATTTGATACTCTCATCACCATACTCTTATCTATGTTCACTTTCAACTTTCTTCCTTTGCACACCCTCCCAAACTCATCCACTAGCCTTTGCAACTTCATTTTAGAATTTCCCAAAAGCACATTAACATCAGCAAAAAGTAACTGTCAAGTCCCATTTTGTATTCGATTCCCCATAATTTAATCCCCAACCCTTGCTCAAATACCCTAGCATTTACTTCTTTTACAACCCCATCTATAAATATATTAAACAACCATGGTGACACAGCACATCCCTGTCTAAGGCCTACTTTTACCGGCTTCTCTTTCCTACACACACTAACCTGAGCCTTACTATCCTCATAAAATTTTTTTACAGCATTTAGTAACTTACTACCTATTCCATACGCTTGCAACATCTGCCACATTGCTCCTTGATCCACCCTATCATATGCCTTTTCTAAATCCATAATTGCAATGAAAACTTCCCTACCTTTATCTAAATATTGTTCATTTCTATGCTTCAATGTAAACAGTTTGTCTACACATCCCCTATCCATTCTAAAGCCTCCTTGTTCATCTGTGATTCTGCTCTCTGTCTTACTTCTAAGTCTTTCAATAATAATTCTACCACACACTTTACCTGGTACACTCAGCAAACTTCTTTCCCTATCATTTTCACACACTCTTTTGTCTCTTTTCCCTTTTTATAAACAAACTATACAAGAAGATACAGAACACCTAGAGTTTCTAGACCATGGGAAAACCTGGGTAGCCACAACCACTCCAGAGAGAGAGAGGTTTTTAGTGCCAGGAAGGAAAAACAATTTTCAGGAAATGACAGAAATCGTACACCAACTCCGATCATTTCTGGAAAGGAATCACAGTCAATGGCCTCCATTCCAAACCAACAAGACATTAGTGCCAGGAAAAAAAGCTCCCCCTCCCCCACATACCACCAATACGATGACATTCATCTTTGCAAATATACAGGGTCTAAAGCCAGCAAAGAACAACAAAATACCTTTCATCCATGGACTGCTTACAGAGTCAAATGCAATGTTCGTGGTTTGCACAGAGACCCACATAAAGGATTACCTTGACAATGAAATATGGATCCCGGGTTATAACCTATACAGATGCGACAGAGTGAACAGGCAAAAGGGGGGAAGGGGTTGGCCTGTACATCACAGTCACTGATATGCTCAGTACTACTAAATGCCTCAAATGATGTAGTTGGAATTCTGGCAGTAAAGATCGAGAACCAAAACCTGGTCATTGTAGTTTTATGCAAGCCTCCGGATGCAACTTCCTAACAATTCCAGGAACAGCTTTTGAAAATTGATCAGTCTGGAAAATCTTCCAACTCTTGCCCCCGTCTTGCTCCTGGGAGATTTCAACCTAAGGCACCTAAAATGAAGAAATGTAGCAAATAATGCTGATCAGGGATAACCCAAGGAGGCAGCTCATGAAAACTCAAACACACGAGCTTTTAAACCTCTGCACTAAATTCATTTTAAACCAGCAAATAACAGAGCCAACAAGATTGGAGAATATAGTGGACCTCATCTTCACTAACAATGATGATCTGATAAGAAATACATATTACCATATCAAAAACAATATACTCAGATCACATAATAATAGAGGGTTCAGACATGTATGTGCAGGGCCTCAGACCAACAAAATGTGATCAGTCACGATGGAGCCTTCACCAAATTCAACTTCAATAACAAAAACATAAGGTGGGATCAAGTAAACCAGGTCCTGAATGATATAAACCGGGAAGATAGCCTAAGCAATACAGACCCAAACCTATGTCTAGAACATATTAACTCTGTGGCACTCGAGGTATGCTCAAGGCATATTCCTTTAAGGAAAAGGAAGAGAAGATGTAAACTAGAGAGAGAGAGGCGCTCCCTATACAGGCGAAGGCATAGAATAACAGAGCAGCAAAGAGAGGCCAATATAGTATCTGTAATATGTAGGGAGGCACTGGTCAGAGAAATAGCAAACATCGAATTAAAGCTTAAGGAATCTTACAGGAGTCAAGAAATGTGGGAAGAACTAAAAGCCATAAATAAAATTGAAAGAAACCCAAAATATTTCTTTTCTTATGACAAATCAATTTGAAAACAACATCCACTGCCTTTATACAAAGGAGCTATGCATGCTCTCTGCCAATCCTTAGGTACCTTACCCTCTTCCATACATTTATTAAATAATAGCATCAATCACTCCAAAACTATATCCCCACTTGCTTTTAACATTTCTATCTTTATCCCATCAATCCCAGCTGCTTTACCCCCTTTCATTCTACCCACTGCCTCACGAACTTCCCCCCCTCACAACTGGCTCTTCCTCACTCCTACAAGATGTTATTCCTCCTTGCCCTATACACGAAATCACAGCTTCCCTATCTTCATTAACATTTAACAATTCCTCAAAATATTCCCTCCATCTTCCCGATACCTCTAACTCTTCATTGAACCCCTTGACTGTCGCAACCCCCAATCCTGAGGTGTCTCCTGGTGTCGCAAAACTTAAAAAAAAAAAAAATTATTTTTTCTTATGAAATGATAGAGAATCTTTTCCTGATTGTAATGACACCAAAAAAAACGAAATTTGATGGAAAACTGATGGAATTACACTCTCGCGAAGTTAGTGACCTCGTCGAGATAGTATTTACAAATCGCCGATTTTGCCCACTTTGAGCCCTATTTTCGGCTAATTCCATTGTTCCAATCGACCAAACTCATAGCTATTTCTTTAGAACTCCATTTTTTCTATCGATTGATTACAAGACACTGCCCATTTACCGATTTCAACTACCCAATAACGTGGTCAGAAATTTGCAATTTGGTCAAATTCACAAAAATTAAAAAATATGACACTTTCAAAATAAGGTCCAGTATGAACAATGCAGACATTCCTGGCTCTAAAATAACATTTTCTTTGTTCATCAGTCACATCTCCAGGTCCCTCTGATATTACTCTTGCTTTATATTTTGAATTTTTATTCAAAAAAAAAAAAAAAAAAAAAAAAAAAAAAAAAAAAAAAAAAAAAAAAAAAAAAAAAAAAAAAAAAAAAAAAAAATAGAAGATTTACTGTTATGCAGACTACCACAATACTGTAATAATTGTACAAATAATGTCAACCCATTCATGACCGCATATCAGAATGGCTAGTTGGACATTTATTGGACAATGGCATCATTTGTTTACTTTTGAACATCGGCAAAAATCAAACATTTCCCCTACTTTGAGCTCCATTTCCAGGTTGTTTTTATAGTAGAGCCAATCAAAATCGCCTCTATTTCTATAGTGTTTTCCATTCTATCAAATGAGACCAAGAAAACAGGAATACAACAATAAAACAATAAATACTATATGAAACTAGACCGCAAAGTCGGCATAATAATTAAAAAAAAAAAAAAAAAAAAAAAAGGTTGGATTTTTTTTTCCTCATTATGCACTGCTTGCTCAAGGATTTTTTTTATATGGTGCAAACTGACCACACAGACCCATTCTTTCACATGTGGGCCTACCAGTTTTCTCCTGGTTGATTTGCAGCCGCTAGAATTTATGAGTACAGTGGACCCCCGGTTCGCGAAGTCATCGGTAACCGATAAATCCGGTATCCGAAGCATTATATCGCGAAAAATTTGCCTTGGTTCCCGTTACAAAACCCGGTACGCGATACGATTCGTACGAGATGTGTCCACGTGTGGCCTGAACTGCCCCGTGTGTACCAGTGTTTACAAGCCAGCCAGTGTGCGCGCATCTAAGGATACATTCGGTACATGCCATATTATCCATATTATCACTGTTTTTGGTGCTTGTTTCTGCAAAATAAGTCACCATGGGCCCCAAGAAAGCTTCTAGTGCCAATCCATCGAGACCAAGGGTGCTAATGACTATTGAAATGAAGAAAGAGATAATTGCAAAGTATGAAAGTGGAGTGCGTGTGTCGGACCTGGCCAAGTTGTATAGTAAATCCCAATCAACCATCTCTACTATAGTGAGCAGGAAAACAGCAATCAAGGAAGCTGTTCTTGCAAAAGGTGCAACTGTGATTACAAAGCAGTGATCACAAGTGTTAGAAAATGTTGAGAGACTGTTATTGGTGTGGATAAATGAAAAACAGATAGCTGGAGATAGCATCTCTCAAGCGATCATTTGTGAAAAGGCTAGGCAGTTGCATGAGGATTCAATTAGAAAAATGCCTGCAACTAGTGGTGATGTGAGTGAATTTAAGGCCAGCAAAGGTTGGTTTGAAAGATTTAAGAGTTGTAGTGGCATACATAGTGTGATTAGGCATGGTGAGGCTGCCAGTTCAGACCAAAAAGCAGCTGAACATTAAAAACTTCGACACTCTCCCCTCCTCCCATCCCATCAATCATCACCAGATCTTCATTAAAGGTAAGTGTCAATTATTCTATTGCTATTGTAATTATTCTATTGCATTAAACTTAATATTTCATGTGGTAAAAGTTTTTTTTTCATACTTTTGGGTGTCTTGCACGGATTAATATGATTTCCATTATTTCTTATGGGGAAAATTGATTCGCTTTCCGATAATTTTGCTTTACGATGAGCTCTCAGGAACGGATTAATAACGTGAACTGGGGGTCCACTGTATATATACATCAAACACGGTACCTCGTAAGACATATATATACGACCAAAACAGTCAAAGGGTTAATAACACTCCTCTCCTATTTTTAACTGTCAAATCCATTTGTTCCCTAGGCTTCCTCAACTTATTAATCTCACTCCAAAACTTTATCTTATTTTCAACAAAATTTGTTGATAACATCTCACCCACTCTCTCATTTGCTCTCTGTTTACACTGCTTCACTATTCTCTTAACCTCTCTTTTTCTCTCCATATACTCTTCCCTCCTTGCATCACTTCTACTTTGTAAAAACCTCTCATATGCTAACTTTTTCTCCCTTACTACTCTCTTTACATCATCATTCCACCAATTGCTCTTCTTCCCTCCTGCACCCACTTTCCTGTAACCACAAACTTCTGCTGAACACTAATGCTACATTCTTAAACCTACCCCATACATCCTCGACCTCATTACCTATACTCTCACTAGCTCATCTATCCTCCAATAATTGTTTATATCTTACCCTAACTGCCTCCTCTTACCTTCGCCTCTCTCTTACTTGCTGCTTCTATTTTCCTTATATCCCATCTACCTTTTACTCTCACTGTAGCTACAACTAGAAAGTGATCTGATATATCTGTGACTCCTCTATAAAAACATGTACATCCAGAAATCTACTCAACAGTCTTTTATCCACCAATACATAGTCCAACAAACTACTGTCGTTACACCCTACATCATATCTTGTATACTTATTTATCCTCTTTTTCTTAAAATACGTATTACCTATAACTAAACCCCTTTCTATACAAAGTTCAATCAAAGGGCTCCCATTATCATTTACACCTGGCACCCCAAACTTACCTACCACACCTTCTCTAAATGTTTCTCCTACTTTAACATTTAGGTCCCCTACCACAATTACTCTCTCACTTGGTTCAAAGATTCCTATACATTCGCTTAACATCTCCCAAAATCTCTCTCTTTCCTCTACACTCCTCTCTTCTCCAGGTACATACACACTTTTCACATACATACATACTTTTCACATCCAACTCTTATTTTAATCCACACAATCCTTGAATTTACACATTCATATTCCCTCTTCTCCTTCCATAACTGGTCCTTCAACATTATTGCTACCCCTTCCTTAGCTCTAACTCTCTCAGATACTCCTGACTTAATCCCATTAATTTCTCCCCACTGAAACTCGCCTACCCCCTTCAGCTTTGTTTCGCTTAGGGCCAGGACATCCAACTTTCACTTAATATAAGTATCATTTTACTCTATGTTAATTACCTTTTTATTATAAACCCAATGATCTCATCTTTTATGACTTGCTGAGTCATCTCACTTTCTTGCTGACTTATTCATGAATATGAAATAATTCAATAAATTGTTTATTGTAACAGAAGCAATTATCTGTTACAAAGAAATTTCTGAACACTTTCATCAATGAAGAAATATAAATACTATTATTTAAGGTACACTATCTTACATTGTTTCCTCATCTCTATAGTGTATAATTGCTTTCTTCTGGCCTTCCAATCCCTGTTCCTGGAATTCAAAATATTTCTGGAAGACTGATGCAAAGCAATTCCTCTTGAGCAGTCCTATCTTTCTGACCAGCTCTTGCCAGTCCTCGGGAAGTTTTTCGAGATCCAGTAAGAGAGAAACATTAAAACCGAACTCTGGCTCAGCCATAAGAAGGCTGCCGTATTCTTCTTGAATAAGTTCATCTGCTCCATGCTCTTGTAACTGCTTGTAGAACTTCAGTGAGATGCTCACCTTTTAAAAAATAAATGAACAATAAACTAGTAATATTCCTGGAAAATAAACAGTTGGTAGCTAACTTATTATATAAAATATTGCATGTCGTTGATTACTCTAACAGAAAGTAGATCATGGAAACAAAATATGAGGAAAAAATTCTTCAGCAAGTATAAACAGACAATCTGCAGAGAAATTTTACAATTAAAAAATTTTTGGTATGCTTGATTCCCAAAGAAAATAATACAAGAAAAGAGGTCTTTGGAAGGGAAGAAAATTCAGGATATCCCACAACGGAAAACTGTATGCATTTGATTATGTAGATATGACAAGGTTGGTGCACTCGCACTTCTGGCCTCCTAGACATAATAGATCAAACTGGCAGAACAATAGCTCAAGACCAAAAACAATAAAAAGTTATTAGTATACGTATTTATAAGAAAGAGCTAAACTCATAGGTACCATACAGTGCTTGGAAACTGAAAGGTAATCAGGTTTGATATAATCTGTCAGATGGAAAAACACAAGTATAGCTTTATTCCTATACCTACTATACAAATAAATAATTACATACATAGAAGCAAATGTATACAATTATTAGATATGGTATGTACTGTACACACAAAACCTTTATAGGTCAGTTCCAATTAATTTTGTGAAATTTTAAAGATGAAATGAATTATTGCAACTTACCCGTATTTTTGTCTTATCACCATTAACATTAGATAAGTGGTAGAGGACGCTATCAAAATCTGCTATAGTGACATCAATGGACTCTGCTTTATTACTGTAAAGAAAGTGAGTAATTTTGTCAATGTCAACTGTTCCACTCAACTATGCTACATTACTATGTAAGAAAATTCTTTAATAAAAAGTCTAATGAATAGATTTCATGAATATACCATTACAAATACTGTACAGTAACATCAATTTACAAATGTTAAAGTGTAAGGGCTGTTCTAACTCATGGCCCAAAGATAGGTTTATTATGATAAACTGTGAAAGTTGAGAGCACAGAGTTTGAGACTTATCTACAGAGATTATGTCTGAGCTACGATAGCCTGTCTGACACTGTATTATGTATCACCACATCTGCAGCTTTAGCTGAATCTTACCTTGCAGTCCATTTCTCTTATGTCTGATTTAAATTCTCAGTCATTAGTCATTGCAATTACCTATGAGTTGTCCTGAAAATTCAGATTTCTGCAATGATAAAGTGTATATCTGGAGTATATCTGGAGAGGGTTTCAGGGATTAATGCCTCCAGGGGCCCAGTCTGTGACCAGGCCTTGTGGTGGATCAGGGCCTGATCAACCAGGCTGTTACTGCTGGCCACACACAAACTGACATATGAACCACAGCCAGGCTGATCTGGTACTAACTTTAGGTGTTTATCTGTGTATCTAACTGCATAATTTCTCAGCTCAACTAAAGTAATGTACGTACTTAGTAATGTGCTGCTTTTAATTCAATTCTAAGGGAAAACAAGTTCATCAATCTGATTCACACTTGAGTAGCTTCACCATAATGCTCACCATGCTTAGTGAAATGAGGGTGTTATGGGAGTCTTTGCGAATTTCTTTGAAAGTTAGAATGCTGAACAACAGGTCTCCAACTTATCATAGTATAATGATGGTATGATGAGTAATGGAAATGTAACTAAATTTAAAAAAAATTATGGAACATGGTGTAATATATGACAGAAGTAAAAGTTTAATGGCAGTTTAAGCAGTCACATTAAAAGTTTAGGAGAAATATATTAAGATGATATGTTTTTAAGTTTTAAGTTACAAATTTTTAATTTATCTGTAAAGTTATTCCACATTTTTAAAAAAGCCCTTTTACTTGGATCAAGCTTAATCAGAGGCTCAGCTGAACACAAGGAATATCAGAGAGGGAGACACTGTGTAGTGTATCTGTTTCCAAGTATGATGCCTGTGTCCAGTTTCAGTTTTTCAGGAAGTGTCTTATGTAACCATCTGCATTACATAGTAGAGTTTAGAAGGCAGAGTCAACAGCAGTATGTATGACAGAGAAGGATGTAAAGTAAAAGGACACAAGTGCAACTAATGTGACATTTATTGTGGCAACGTTTCGCTCTCCAGGAGCTTTATCAAGCCATACAAACAATACACGGACACAGAGGGTATATAAAGGCTCAGAGTGAGGTGCAATACTAGTGAGGTACCATTTCGATGTTCACTAGTGGTAGTGGTGGTAGTAGTAGTAGTAGTGGTAGTGACAAAAGTAATACAATATGGTAGAGCAATTAATTCGTACATGAGTAAAAGGATATAAAAGCTATTACTTGGGTAACATAAAAATAGGTTGGACAAATATAGAGTGGAAGAGGCAGCTTGTTTCAGTGTTCACTCTCTGTAATGTGCTTTGTGTAGTATAACAGGAGAGACTATGTGATGGCAGGGTTTACTGTTTTCAGGAGGATTCTTACTAAGACTTCGGAGATGGTGAAGCTGCCGTTGTTTTGTTTAATTGTATTTGAAACAGCGATCAGTGCTGATTCGAGGCACTTGCGTCTGCGGAAATTAGTTTCATTGATCACTAATTGGGCATCTCTGAATTTCACGAGATGATTGGTGGAATTTCGGTGTTGTACACAGGTGTTGTTCAAGTTATCGTTCCTACATGCGTAAATGTGTTCATTGAGGCGGGTGTCGAGGTTTCTTGCTGTTTCACCTACGTAAATCTTGTCACAGCCTCCACAGGGTATAGTGTAAACTCCTGCATTGACTGGTTCGTGGTGCTTGGATTTTGTCCTGGTTAGATCCTTTATTGAAGTGCTAGAAGCGATGGCGACTCTGGTGTTAGCTTGTGAAAGTACTTTTGAGACGTTCAGTACAACCTGGCTGTTGGGAAGAATTATAACTTTGTTGGGAGTGGTGTTGATGCGTGGAGAATTAATGATCTGAAGAGCTCTTTTCTTGCAGTCTTTGATGAAAAAAGAAGGAAAATGTAACTCAGTGAATGTTTGGTGAATGTATGTACATTCCTCGTCAAGAAACTCAGGACTACAAATTCGGTATGCTCTTAGGAAAAACCCGATGATGATGCCTCTTTTGGTCTTGGTATCTTGACTGGAATAGAAGTGTGTGAGATCATTTTTATTGGTGGGTTTCCGATAAGCTTGAAATCTTAGGTTGTTGTCTACTTTGTGAATGAGGACGTCGAGGAAAGGAAGCTTGTCATTGGACTCTTCTTCTAGTGTAAACTGGATCGCTGGTTCAACTGCGTTGAGCCTTGCCTGAAGATCCCGTACATCAAAACGTTTTGGAGTTATTACGAGGACATCGTCCATGTAACGTAACCAAGTGATGCTTGAAGGGATGATGTTGGCGAAGTGTTCGGACTCTAGGTGTTCCATGTATAAGTTGGCTAGGACGGCACTTATGAGGGACCCCATTCCCATGCCGTAGGTTTGTTTGTAGAGCTTGTTATTGAAAGAAAAACAGTTGAAATTAACACAGAGTTCAATCAAGTCAACAAAATCTCCGGGAGGTAGAGGAAGATTAAGGTCCTGAGTGACTTTACGTCGTAAAACCTCGATGGCTTTTTTGGTAGGTACTTTTGTGAAGAGGGAAGTCACATCCAAACTGCTTAGTTTCTTGTTACGAACCAGTCAATGCAGGAGTTTACACTATACCCTGTGGAGGCTGTGACAAGATTTACGTAGGTGAAACAGCAAGAAACCTCAACACCCGCCTCAATGAACACATTTACGCATGTAGGAACGATAACTTGAACAACGCCTGTGTACAACACCGAAATTCCACCAATCATCTCATGAAATTCAGAGACGCCCAATTAGTGATCAATGAAACTAATTTCTGCAGACGCAAGTGCCTCGAATCAGCACTGATCGCTGTTTCAAATACAATTAAACAAAACAACAGCAGTTTCACCATCTCCGAAGTCTTAGCAAGAATCCTCCTGAAAACAGTAAACCCTGCAATCACATAGTCTCTCCTGTTATACTACACAAAGCACATTACAGAGAGTGAACACTGAAACAAGCTGCCTCTTTCCACTCTATATTTGTCCAACCTATTTTTATGTTACCCAAGTAATAGCTTTTATATCCTTTTACTCATGTACGAATTAATTGCTCTACCATATTGTATTACTTTTGTCACTACCACTACTACTACTACTACTACCACTACCACTAGTGAACATCGAAATGGTACCTCACTAGTATTGCACCTCACTCTGAGCCTTTATATACCCTCTGTGTCCCTGTATTGTTTGTATGGCTTGATAAAGCTCCTGGAGAGCAAAACGTTGCCACAATAAATGTCACATTAGTTGCACTTGTGTCCTTTTACTTTACATATTGTCGGTAATTCTACCAACTTTATTACAGAGAAGGATGATGAAGCCGATTTCTTATATCAGAAATCTTTCCTACAAAGACAGATTGAAGACAGTAAATTTGCACTCTTTGGAAAAGGTGTAGAATGGGGGGATGGGATATATGACTGAAGTACATTCAAATATAAAACTGAAATGAAGGGGATATGAATATTGCGCTAAAAAGAATCTAATCAAGGTAGGACTTGCAGCAATGAATTAGAGTTAAACAAATTTACATTTAGAAAGAATACAGAAAAGCACTGGTTTGGATATAAAGTTGTAGGTGCATGGAACAAACTCTTTAGTAGTGTCACTGAAGTGAGAAATTTGGGTCACTGAAAATGGGTTGGACAGGCACATGAGTAGGTGTGAGTGGGTATGAAATGAACCTGCCTAGCATGGGTCAGTGCATCATTCCTATGTTCTTAATATTCAGTAAGTGTACAGATCTGAATAATGGCACAATGTGTTGCCTAAAATTAAAGTTCGCGATGCTTCTAATATTTGCCTCTTGCTGTGTGATATACTGTCTGAGGTGGAGTGCTGAAGTAACTCCAGGAAGAAATTCCATTAGTGAGGTTATGTAAATGAGAAAAAAAGTAGTTATTAGTATAGATTAGGGAACATAACAGAAAACTTTTTGAAGTATACCTATAGTTTTTGAGCCTTTATTTTTATGAGCTGGATATAGGATTGCATTATTAGGGCTGTTTTTTTTTATTGGGGGAGGGGGGTGTATGAATCCAAACTGGCAAGGAGTAAATATATGTTTAATTAGTATTGGTTGATTAAATACTGGTCTGGAATTGTTAAGGTCAATTTGACTGGCACCTTATTGGATGGATGTTAGCCTTGCTCTTTTGAGAGTCTTGAATGGAGCATTCAAGCAATTTGTTGCAAAGCATTGAAAAAGATTGATAACACTTGTACAGCTTTCTTCTAGAAAAGTGGGTATACTGTACATTTCTTCTGCGATATTAAACAAGTTTTAATTTCATAACTGATGCCATTTCAGATGTTGTGTTAAGTGCTAAGTAGGAATTTAGGTCATCATTGGTCAGATATATACTGATGTTAGTATGGGCCTCTAGGATGATTTCTACAAGATCTGTTCCTACTGTAGAGAAGAAATTGTTAAGCTTATTCACAGCATTAGTGGCTGAGTGGGAGTTCGTTTGCTTTTGAAAGGATTATTTGTTGGCATTCGTTAATTATTTTTTGACCAGAGAATTTGGGGAGAGGGTTTTCCAAGTTTTTTAATATCTCCTTTGGAGTCACTAAATCTATCAGAATTTTATTTTTGCTTGGATATGCTAATCATTCTTGTGTTGGCTACAAAGTACTACTTTTTCATTGTCAAAGTACACTTTATTCAGTTTATTAACCCTGCAGGATTAGCAACCCAGGGTAACCCAATAAAGTCAATCAGGATATGTGTCTGGCTCAGTTAATAGTGGGCTTAGCTCAGAGTGAGGGACTGGCATTTGGCCCATTGAGTGTAAATGTTAGTCATGTTTCCTTAGACCCCTGTTAACCTGGGTGTTAACTGGCTGTTGTTGGGTCACATCCCGGGGAAAGGGAATAAAAGGTGTCAATGGAAATAAACCAGTTATCCTGGGTTACTAACCTCTGAGTTTAAAATCAGTTAAAATCATCATCAGTGACTTATTTCCAAGAGCTTTTATTCCTTTTTAAGTCCTCCCAGGATACGACTTACAACAATCGACTAATTGCTAAGTAAGAGGGGCAGGAGATGCTTGGAGACTTAGTCAAGGATCCCAATGGAAATAAATCGTTGACTTTTTTGGGTTGCCCTAAGTAATTATGTATGATAACTGTACTTATGTGTATCCATGCCTAAATAAACTTACTTAAAACGTCCCGCCTCGTGTGGGGTTCGAACCCAGGTCTGGTCGGTAGTGAGCCGAGCCTGGTAACTACCTGGTACCTCAACTGGCCTTCAGTGAGTCATGGTAGTCAAATACAAGAATGACACATACAACAGTAATGAATACAGGAGTGACACATATACTAATAATGAGTACATTAGTGACACATACAGTAATAATAACTACAGCAGTGACACATACAGCCGCAGACGACCTGATACCACACCGGTTTCTCTTCAGAGACAATTTACTCAACTTACCCATTTAAGGAGTTTCTTATTTTAACGGTCAACGTTTCCTCGAGGATTCTGTTGTTAATCTCCAGAAGAATCATTGTGGTAGCGTCATGAGGGAGGAAATAAGAGAGAGAGAAGTGCGAGGAGGTGTTATGGGCGTCACTCCTTGATAACGACTATAGATACCAACTTCCGCCGCCCCTCACACCCACGCCCTCACGCCCACACCCACACCCACACTCATCCTCGCCTCCCACAAACTCAGAAGAAAATATAGCCAGGTCAGGTAAAAGCCTCAATGACGAGGATTTAATAAAAATATTTCATATGGGAAAATTGCACCGACGAGGTTCCAATAATATTTAAAATGTAAACATTTATCTTGCTGGTCAGTGTGTAAATAATAAATCCTCACAAAATATTAATGTTACAGCATTTCTGGCACGGAATAGTAATTTTAATTGTATGATATACTAGTTCTGTTTACGATAACATCGAGGAAAACATAGTTAATATGTCGATTTTTAGAGAATTTTCACCTTAAAGATGGAAAATATTTACCTACAAAAATACGATTATTACAGCATCATTTTTTATAATCTATATTTATTTAACGTACTAATTATAATTAAAGTTATATAGATAAACTTGTAAAAGATCTGCAACTTTTTTATAAAATTTTCTCCTTATGAATGGAAAATATTTACCATATTAACTATGATTATTTTGTTATCATTCTCCATGCATGACATCAAATTAACGTTATAATAAATGTGTAAATTATAGCTGGTTTGAAAGAGTCTTAAATGTTCGTTAATGTTGTTGATAGAATTAGTGAACAAGTGACCTCGGGAAGAAGGAAACAGGTCTCACCTCACATAATTAATGGGTTATTCCTCACTACTCATGGCTCCTTTACCTCTAACTTTGCATTGCAAGTGTCAAGTAAAAGTTGCTGCTGCTGTGTGTGCGTTCACGCTGTAAATATGGCAGCCAGAGAGAAGAAAGTTGATGAAACAAGTTATGAGGTAAGTTCTGGCCTCGGTTTGTTTACATTGTCAGTGACTTGAAGACATTTATGTTTAAAGACCCCCTTACTGAAGTAGTCTTGACCCCCCTTACTGAAGTAGTCTTGACCCCCCTTACTGAAGTAGTCTTGACCCCCCTTACTGAAGTAGTCTTGACCCCCCTTACTGAAGTAGTCTTGACCCCCCTTACTGAAGTAGTCTTGACCCCCCTTACTGAAGTAGTCTTGACCCCCCTTACTGAAGTAGTCTTGACCCCCCTTACTGAAGTAGTCTTGACCCCCCTTACTGAAGTAGTCTTGACCCCCCTTACTGAAGTAGTCTTGACCCCCCTTACTGAAGTAGTCTTGACCCCCTTACTGAAGTAGTCTTGACCCCCCTTACTGAAGTAGTCTTGACCCTCCTTACTGAAGTAGTTTTGACCCCCCTTACTGAAGTAGTCTTGACCCCCCTTACTGAAGTAGTCTTGACCCCCCTTACTGAAGTAGTCTTGACCCCCCTTACTGAAGTAGTCTTGACCCCCCTTACTGAAGTAGTCTTGACCCCCCTTACTGAAGTAGTCTTGACCCCCCTTACTGAAGTAGTCTTGACCCCCCTTACTGAAGTAGTCTTGACCCTCCTTACTGAAGTAGTCTTGACCCCCCTTACTGAAGTAGTCTTGACCCCCTTACTGAAGTAGTCTTGACCCCCCTTACTGAAGTAGTCTTGACCCCCCTTACTGAAGTAGTCTTGACCCCCCTTACTGAAGTAGTCTTGACCCCCCTTACTGAAGTAGTCTTGACCCCCCTTACTGAAGTAGTCTTGACCCCCCCTTACTGAAGTAGTCTTGACCCCCCTTACTGAAGTAGTCTTGACCCCCTTACTGAAGTAGTCTTGACCCCCTTACTAAAGTAGTCTTCGCCCCCTTACTGAAGTAGTCTTTGCCCCCCTTACTGAAGTAGTCTTTGCCCCCCTTACTGAATTCTTCACCCCCTTACTGAAGTAGTCTTGACCCCCCTTACTGAAGTAGTCTTGACCCCCCATTACTGAAGTAGTCTTGACCCCATTACTGAAGTAGTCTTGACCCCATTACTGAAGTAGTCTTCGCCCCCTTACTGAAGTAGTCTTCGCCCCCTTACTGAAGTAGTCTTCGCCCCCCTTACTGAAGTCTTCACCCCCTTACTGAAGTAGTCGTCACCCCCTTACTGAAGTAGTCTTGATCCCCTTTACTGAAGTAGTCTTGATCCCCTTTACTGAAGTAGTCTTGATCCCCTTTACTGAAGTAGTCTTGATCCCCTTTACTGAAGTAGTCTTGATCCCCTTTACTGAAGTAGTCTTGGCCCCATTACTGAAATAGTCTTGACCCCCCTTACTGAAGTAGTCTTGACCCCCCTACTGAAGTAGTCTTGACCCCCTTACTGAATTAGTCCTGACCCCCTTACTGAAGTAGTCTTGACCCCCCTAACTGAAGTCTTGACCCCCTTACTGAAGTAGCCTTGACCCCCCTTACTGAAGTAGCCTTGACCCCCTTACTGAAGTAGTGTTAACCCCCTTACTGAAGTAGTCGACCCCCCTTACTGAAGTAGTCGACCCCCCTTACTGAAGTAGTCTTGACCTCTCTTACTGAAGTAGTCTTGACTCCCCTTACTGAAGTAGTCTTGACCCCCTTACTGAAGTAGTCTTGACCCCCCTTACTGAAGTAGTCTTGACCCCCCTTACTGAAGTAGTCTTGACCCCTCTTACTGAAGTAGTCTTGGCTCCTCTTACTGAAGTAGTCTCGACCCACTTACTGAAGTAGTCTTGACCTTCCTTACTGAAGTAGTCTTGACCTTCCTTACTGAAGTAGTCTTGACCCCCCTTACTGAAGTAGTATTAACCCCCCTTTCTGAGGCAGTATTAACCCCCCTTTCTGAGGCAGTCTTGACCCCCCTACTGAGGCAGTCTTGACCCCCCTACTGAGGAAGTCTTGACCCCCCTACTGAGGCAGTCTTGACCCCCTACTGAGGCAGTCTTGACCCCCCCTACTGAGGCAGTCTTGACCCCTCTACTGAGGCAGTCTTGACCCCCCTACTGAGGCAGTCTTGACCCCCCTACTGAGGCAGTCTTGACCCCCCTACTGAGGCAGTTTTGACTCCCCTACTGAGGCAGTCTTGACCCCTACTGAGGCAGTCTTGACTCCCCTACTGAGGCAGTCTTGAGCCCTACTGAGGCAGTCTTGACTCTCCTACTGAGGCAGTCTTGACTCTCCTACTGAGGCAGTCTTGACTCTCCTACTGAGGCAGTCTTGACTCTCCTACTGAGGCAGTCTTGACTCTCCTACTGAGGCAGTCTTGACTCTCCTACTGAGGCAGTCTTGACTCTCCTACTGAGGCAGTCTTGACTCTCCTACTGAGGCAGTCTTGACTCTCCTACTGAGGCAGTCTTGACTCTCCTACTGAGGCAGTCTTGACTCTTCTACTGAGGCAGTCTTGACTCTCCTACTGAGGCAGTCTTGACTCTCCTACTGAGGCAGTCTTGACTCTCCTACTGAGGCAGTCTTGACTCCCCTACTGAGGCAGCCTTGACTCCCCTACTGGGGCAGCCTTGACTCCCCTACTGGGGCAGCCTTGACTCCCCTACTGAGGCAGTCTTGACTCCCCTACTGAGGCAGTCTTGACTCCCCTACTGAGGTAGTCTTGACTCCCCTACTGAGGTAGTCTTGACTCCCCTACTGAGGTAGTCTTGACTCCCCTACTGAGGTAGTCTTGACTCCCCTACTGAGGTAGTCTTGACTCCCCTACTGAGGCAGTCTTGACTCCCCTACTGAGGCAGCCTTGACTCTCCTACTGAGGCAGCCTTTCTGAGGCAGTCTTGACTCCTCCTCCACCGGGTGCAGTCTTGACCCTCCCACCGGGTGCAGTCTTGATCCCCCACCGGGTGCAGTCTTGGCCCCCACTGGGTGCAGTCTTGACCCCCACTGGGTGCAGTCTTGAACCCCACCGGGTGCAGTCTTGACCCCTCCACCGGGTGCAGACATGACCCCCTCCACCGGGTGTAGATATGACCCTCTCCTCCGGGTGCAGTCTTGACCCCCTCTGGGTGCAGTCTTGACCGACTCCTCCAGGTGCAGCCTTGACCCCCTCCTCCGGGTGCAGTTTTGACCCCCTCCTCCGGGTGCAGTCTTGACCCCCTCCTCTGGGTGCAGTCTTGACCCCCTCCTCTGGGTGCAGTCTTGACCCCCTCCTCTGGGTGCAGTCTTGACCCCCTCCTCTGGGTGCAGTCTTGACCCCTCTAGTGGGACCACTGTGACTCCTTTAGTGGGGTTACCAGTTGCAACTTTAGTGGGGTTACCAGTTGCAACTTTAGTGGGGCCACCATGATTCCATGGGGAGCTGTCAGTGTCCCACCACTTAGGTCACAGGCACCCTCCATTGGGGCTGCCAGCTTTCCTCTGTGGGAAGGATGATTGGCACCAGTCATGAAAAGAAGTATGATGCCAGCTGCAGGAAGGGGAACAGTGCCAGCCATGGGAAAGGAGACAGTGCCAGCTGTGGGAAGGAGGATAGCACCAGCTATGGAAAGGGGGATGGCGTCAGCTGTAGGGAAGGGGAAAAGCTCCGGGTGCAGGAAAGGGGATACCTGGAGAGTGTTTCGGGGATCAACACCCCTGCGGCCTGGTCTGTGACCAGGCCTCCTGGGCATGGATCAGGGTCTGATCAACCAGGCTGTTACTGGTGGCCTCACACAGACCGACATATGAACTGCAGCCTGGCTGATCAGGTACTGACTTTAGGTGCCTGTCCAGTGCCTTCTTGAAGACAGTCAGGGATCTACAGTGGACCCTCGACTAACGCTATTAATCCGTTCCTGAGAGCTCATAGTTAGTCAAAATAATCGTTAGTCAAGTTAATTTTCCCCATAAGAAATAATGGAAATCAAATTAATCTGTGCAAGACACCCAAAAGTATTGAAAAAAAAAAAAATTTAACACGTGAAATATTAATTTTAATACAGTGGACCCCCGCATAACGATTACCTCCGAATGTGACCAATTATGTAAGTGTATTTATGTAAGTGCGTTTGTACGTGTATGTTTGGGGGTCTGAAATGGACTAATCTACTTCACAATATTTCTTATGGGAACAAATTCGGTCAGTACTGGCACCTGAACATACTTCTGGAGTGAAAAAATATCGTTAACCAGGGGTCCACTGTACACACAAACTGAAGAAGACATGCACAGTTACATGACACTTACCTTTATTGAAGATCTGGTGATGATTGATGGGATGGGAAGAGGGGAGTGTGTTGATGGTCTTAGTGTTTAGAAGGGGAATTCACTTCCATTAGGACTTGAGGTGGCAAGTCCTTTTTCGGGGTTACTTCCCTTCTGTTAATGCCACTAGGACCAGCTTGAGAGTCGCTGGACCTCTGTCGCACAACATATCTGCCCATAGAGGCCTGTACCTCCCGTTCCTTTATGACATTCCTAACGTGTTTCACAACATTGTCAGTGTCACCATTAAACACTTGGTCAGGTTTCAGTCCTTCATTGTCTATGTACTCCTTGAATTCCTGCACATATTTTTCAGCTGCTTTTTGGTCCAAACTGGCAGCCTCACCATGCCTTATCACACTATGTATGCCACTACGATTCTTAAATCTCTCAAACCAACCTTTGCTGGCCTTAAATTCACTCACATCACCACTAGTTGCTGGCATTTTTCTAATTAAATCGTCATGCAACTTCCTAGCCTTTTCACATATGATCGCTTGAAAGATGCTATCTCCTGCTATCTGTTTTTCGTTTATCCATACCAATAACAGTCTCTCAACATCTTCTATCACTTGCGATCTCAGTTTCGAAAACATAGTTGCACCTTTGGCAAGAACAGCTTCCTTGATTGTCGTTTTATTGGCCACAATAGTAGCGATTGGGGTTTTGTGTACAGCCTGGCCAGCTCGGAGACATGCACTCCACTTTCATACTTAGCAATGATCTCTTTCTTCATATCCATAGTAATTCTCACCCTTTTTGCTGTAGG